CAATTGCAAAAGTTAAAGTCCCTTAAAGCCTAAAGCTCTACATGTATATACATGTACATGTAGCAAGAGTACATGTACATATACATGTACACTAATATACTGACTATATACTAAATATGCATCACATTGTACATGCAGTATAGCTGGATCAGAGTTATCAACACGCACAGCAGAGAAAGGAAGTGCTACAGCAGAGAAAAAAAGTGCTACAGCAGAGAAAAGAAGTGCTACAGCAGAGAAAAGAAGTGCTACGGCAGAAAGTAGCAGCAAAGATGGAGCAAGTTTGCTATACACTCTACAGCAAGAGAAAATGACCGAAGAACTCATTCAAAGTATTGGAGCGAAACAGCACCCACACGTAAGAAAAAACTAATAATAATAATAATAATAATAATAATAATAATAACATTTTAAATAAATATTTAATGACATTTCTAGGATATGCTTTGGCATTCCACTAGCAAGCTTTTGCAGTTGAAGCAGGAGCTGTCAATGACTGACAGAGAATTGGAAGAGAAGAAGAGAGAAGTGAACATGAGACTAGAAGCAACAGAAGAAAGATATAAAGCCTTGGAAAAGAAGAAAGAAGCAGTGAGAGAGAGAGAGAGGGAGGGAGGTAGAGGGGGGAGGGAGAGAGAGAGGCAGAGAGAGAAAGAGAAGGGGGAGGGGAAGAGAGTGGAAAACAAAAAGAACAAGAGCTTTAATTAGAGAAAATATCCTAAACTCTTTCTCTCTCTCTCTCTTGATTTTATCACATTTTAATGTCAAAGTTGGCACAGAGAATGAAAAAGTTCAATGCAGTCATAGAGGAGGGAAAGATAGTGAGATACAAAGCACTGCAAAGGAAAACTGAAGAAGAGAGAGAATTGAAAATAAAAGAAGCAAAGGCAACTCAATTGATAAGGGAACTAGCATATCTTAAAACAAAGTAACAACAACAACAACAACAATAATAATAATAATAATAATAATAATAACAATAATAATAATACTAATAACAATAATAATAATAATAATATCTGATGATAAAATAGGAATAAAGAAATATTAAAAGCTTGTGAAAAAAACAAGCCGTCGGAACAATACTTGGAGAAAGTCTACGATGCAGCACCAACAAGTAAGTTTACTAATATAATACTGTAGAGAAACTACCAATACACCTTAAGGCCACTATTATTTGCGAGTACTAATTTTTACGTTAACTTTAATTTTGAACACGCTCAATGACCATAGTTAGAAAATCACCACGCAAATCTCATCCATTACTACCATATAGCTAAAAAATTTGGAGTGCTAAAATTTGGCGAATTGACTCTAAAAGAGGTTTGGAGGTTAGAATTTTGGCGAATCTTTAACTCTGTGCATGCTTCTATGGAGCTTTTGGAGACTAAAAATTTGGTGAATGGACCTCAATTCGCCAAACTCACCAAGGTTTTACTCCACCAAATTTTCTAGCTATACGGTATTACTAGTATTATTATTACGTGTACTATTATTATTATTATTATTATTATTATTATCATCATCATTATTCAATAGGTTATTTCGATACTATTGATTCCAAAGCAGAGTCAGTTATAAATAGAATGAAAGCACTGTCAACCAGCGGAAAACAGATCCACGATGAGCTAACAATGAAGACAGATGAAGTAATAATTAAATTATTAATACATTAACTAATAATTGAATTAATTAATTAATTAATTGGACAATTAATAAATATTCGATGATTTTTATTAGACTATTACAATGCGTAATGAGATGGTACAAGAGAAACAAGACTACCAAGAGACAATGATG